GTATAATGTTTTTTCAACCTATAGATTACTACCTATTAGTTGTTGGATTTGACCATCATTTATTTATTTATTTATTTGTTTATTTAATTTTTTTTTAATGATCGGTAAGGGGATCGTGACCCTCGGCATGGTGTTGTCTGTACCACGCTCAGCCAGTGAGCGCACCAGCCATCCCTATATAGGATCCAAACCCATGGCCTCAGTGCAACCAGCGCCGCACTCTCCCGAGTGAGCCATGGGGCCGGCCCAACCATCATTTATTTTTAATAAAATAGAATAGAATACAAAATATCAGAATACAGGAAGAAAGATTATTGTTTTGTGAAAATTTGTTTTGGTCACATATGCATCTGTGATTATGTTGCCATGTAAAATATATATCTTATAACTAATTGGTCATGATACAAGAAAAGTTTAGAAGCTACTAGCTTAGTAATACTCAGTAAATAATTGTGGAATAGATTGTGCACAGACGAATAATCACATAGCTGGCACCAAGACTGTGTACCTCGTGTCTTGACAGACTTCTGGAACTCCTCTCAGTAATGGGTTTGAACCAAATTTTTCTCGGCCTTCCCTTTACCTGGGTGCATGCCTCAATCCCGCAGGGAGTTTCCGGGAAGTTAGATGCTCCCATCTCTACTTCAGTGGATACAAAGAGCTTTATCTCAAGAAAAGCTGGGAAAATCCCTCTTAGGAGCCTTGTGATTCAATTAATTTCCAAGAATCTCTGGTAAAGGGCAGCCCACTCGGTCCCAGAGCCTGGGGATGGCTGGGCTGCAGTGTCCATCACTTCAGCTCTGAGGCAAACATTTAATGGTGGAGGCTGCAGAGGCCCTGTCAGCCCGGAGCATGGAAGCCAGTCCTCCTCACACAACAAGCCCTGTGCAATTCTCCCAAGCTGTCAAGTGACCTCTGTCCCAGATCAGTGAGCTAAAAACATTAATTAAAAAAAGCAAAAGAGGTAATTTCAGTATCGCTGGAGGCACACTCAAATTGGAAGAGTAGAGCGACCTTGAATCAAATTTCTGTTTCTTTAATCAGGTCTGAGCAAACATCCTCTGCTATGGCTAACTTTATTTTCATTTATTTGTCAGTTTTAAAAAGAACTTGAGGTAAGTTAACTTCTCTGGGACCCAATGATGTAAAGGCAGAGGGAAAAAATGTTTAAAATTCTTTTTAAAAAACAGACAAAAATTATACTTTTTTTGATGTATCTAACCATTTTCATAAAGTTTGGGGGACTTAATATGGGGCTGGGGAAGGCAATAGTAAGAATGAAATGTATTTGATTTGCAAAAAAATTCCAGGAAAGAGATCTTTTTTTCAGCAATGTGAGCACGCTCTCTGCGTGACTACCACATGCGCAGAAGTTGGTCATTCTATACCTGGTTAGAACTATTTTCTGTTATTCTCCCTTGGTTTAAGGCATGTAAAATCTGCTTCTGTACCAGATACAGTCACCCTCTATTTCCAAGCTGGAGTAAAAGCCAACAGAACCTGTGAACATAAAAACAAAAGAGTACTTTTCCTCTCACACCTTTACTTACAAATAATTGTTTTAAATTTTATTTTTCTCCTTGGTGATTAAGAGCAGATGTTACAAACCAACTTTGTACTTGGTGGGGTGGCTTAGCAGGGAAGTGGGGGGTGGTGTGTGACTCACCAAAACAGAGGAATAAAGGAATGACAACAGAATTACTAAATAAAGGAATGACAAAGAATTACTAAACAACAGAGGAAAGATGAGAGTAGAAAGGTATGAGACAAGATGGTTCTTAAAGTAAAAGCTGGTTTGGATGTTTTTTTGAAGAATTAATTTACAGTAAACAGCATAGAAGGAAAATCAAATTGGAATAGAGAAGACAATGTTAAGAACTAAGCAAGAATCACTAATGTTCGATGACCTGTCAACTCTCAAATGAAAAGCAGGTGTCCTTTCTCTTAGCCCAATCCTGCAAAGACTCAAGGTTTCCAAAGGGAAAGGAGAGGCAGGCTTCAGTTAGAGCTAAGACATACTATATGATGTTGGATGTGTGCATTTCCTACTTTGGTTTTGAAGCCCCACTGACTACACCTGTGAAGGATTTGAGCCAACTTTGCTCTCCAAATGAGTTTTCTTTGATACTTGGAAAACTTTGTGTTACTGTACTGCAACTTACATATGCCAGAAAGAGTTTTCTATAGGTTACCATTTTAGAATGGTAGCTCTTCACCATGAGAAGGGGCTAAATTTTATTCTTTTTCATTCTAAGAAAATAAGTAAATATCAAGAAAGACCAAAATGAAAATATCTATAATTCTGTAGGCTACTTAGGCTGTTATTAAAAACTGTGAGTCAGTGTCATGAACAGATTGAATTTAAGAGTGGCCCTAGTTTGCAGACAGAAACAAACTTAATTAAAAATTGTCTTCTTAACTGTTTAGTGTTATAACCCAAATATAATCCCTTTATATTACTCTTTACTTTGTAAATAATAGAGGTTTAGAAATGATTCCAAAGTCATAAATATATATTAAGTTCTCTAAAATATATCTGTTTAATTAAATAAAAGGAAAAGAAAATGGCAACATTACTTTCCTTCAGAGATCTTACAAGTCTGGAATGTGATTATCTTCAAACTTTTTGTGATTATATATTTATCTATGTATCCATCTGTGTATCATTTGGTTGCTATCTGAAATTATATAGTGTCTTCTACATTGCTTCATCTCTAATGACAATTTAATTCACATTTCATAACTTTTTATGGTAGACTAGGGATCCTGCTTCCCCTTCTGAGATGTAGGACTAGAATGAGAAACTGCCACTTTTTATCAGAACTTTAAACTATGTCACTTGAAAATCAACTGAGAGTAGAAACTAATTAGCCAGGCCTCCTGTGGCGAAAACTGCTGTAAGCCCTAGAGCCTCTTCCTGGCAAAGTGCTGAATGAAAGGTGTCAGAGATCAGGGCACAGCTGGGAAAGGTTAGCTCAGCCTGCAAAGGGTCTTCCCAGAGTGCACAGACCCCTGACAAAGAGAGAGTTGATAGAAACATGTCATGGAGCTTTCTCGGGACATCAGGGTCACATTTGTGGGACAGATCACATAGCACCTGTAACAGTATTGGTCTGCCCATTCCATATTAAAATAAGCAACTCTAATTTCTCCTCATTCTTTCAGGTTGGGAAGAGAAATAATGGAATTGCACATTTTTTTTCTGAATCTCAAATAACAATATCATTTAAAAATACTTATATGTATTTTATTCACATAGTGAATGCACTAATTCATGCATGGAGGTCAAGGAAACCAGGAATCAGAATACTTCTTCTCTAGATTAAAATATAATGGCTTGGAAGGGGAAAGTAGGAAAAGGATCATAAGGAATTGATTATGATTGCCTAAGAATCATAATGTAAAGAATCACAATCACATACTTTTTAATTTATTTTTTCCAAGGACTTTTATTTCTTCTGAAATATTTCTGTAAAATGTGCATGCATATTTACAAGTGTTAAAAAGGTAAACTGAGGCACATTAAATGTTTGAAGAGTTTATTTAAGCAAACAATTCCTGAATCTAGTAGCTCCAAACCAGATGTGTTTGGGAAGATTCACCAAGAGAACACAAGGGGGAGGTTTTATACAATGAACACAGAAGTAAAGCAAAGAAAATACAGCCATGTGCTGCATAACAATGTTTCAGTCAATAACGGCTACATATGCAAAGGTGGTCCCATAAAATTATAATTCCAGATTTCTACTATACCTTTTCTGTGCTTAGAAACACAAATACTGACCATTATGTTACAATTGACTACAGTATTCAGTACATAACATGTTGTTCAGGATTATAGTCTAGGAACAATAGGATATACCATATAGCCTAGGTGTGTAGCAGGCTATGACTTCTTTGGGACTGTAAATATCTTAAACTTGAGTCATGAGTCAGCTTTTAAAAATGCTTAAGCCAGTCCAAACTTGGCAGATATCTCTTTTATTTCCTTAAGTAGACTTTCTCAATAGCAAAATAGAAAATTTCTAATTCTTCTTAAATGAATTAACTGAATTGAATGCTTAAATGAGTAACTAAAAATCTACAAAAGTCTTCTACCTACAAAATTTATCAAAATAATATGTAAAATTGTTTCTCTATAAAGTCTACCAAATCTTTGCACTACAGCACACTGTCTCTTTCTCAGTTGTTCTGACCCTTCTCAGGTCAAAGGTCTCATGCATCTCTCAGAAAGCTCCTAGAAAGGGCTGCATTTCTCATGGGCAGATGCTCATGGGGACACCAAAGTCACCCTCTCCTGGCAGCTCAGGACAGAGGAATGGATGCAAAGCCTCCACAATGGAGAGAGAACTATGTATACAAATGAGGGCATCATTTCCAACATCAAAAAAC